AAAGGACTGTGAGAACGGGATCTGATTCTAATTGAGGCGTTGATGACTATGTGTGTTGTTTGTGTATGTGCGTCTTATATATTGTTTAGTGTTGCCCATTTTTATTGTAAACCGCATTGAGTCGCCGTCTCAGGCTGATAAATGCGGTATACAAATGGAGTAAATAAATAAATAAATAAATATTGTTCAGCAGGGATATTGATGCCCCAAATAAGAATTGAGTTCCCTCCAAATGAGAATTTCCTTTAGTCCCCACATTTATGGCACTGTGGTAATGCTTTTTAGTGTCTCACTGTCACTATCTCATTTTCATGGGGTGTGTCAATACTGTAGAAATCCCAAGGCTTCCTGTTTGAAGTGTTTTATTTGGCAGCTGATCCCTACTGTTTATAGGGTATAGCCGAATCAATGTATTTTTTAAAATAAGGATAGGAAGTTTGGATTTTCTTTTTTGATGCTCCTATTTTTCATCAAGTGGTTATGCCGATCTCATCTCCAACCACATCTCTTCTAATCCTCTTTTGTTGTCTTCATTTTTGTCAGAATAGATATTACAGTCTTCTTCTTCTACAGGCAAAACTACGGTGAGGTGGATCTGTAATTGGTTAAGTGGACGAACACAGAGAGTGCTCACTAATGCTTCCTCTTCATCTTGGAAAGAAGTGACAAGTGAAGTGCCACAGGGTTCCGTCCTGGGCCCGGTCCTGTTCAACATCTTTATTAATGACTTAGATGAAGGGCTAGAAGGCATGATCATCAAGTTTGCAGACGACACCAAATTGGGAGGGATAGCCAATACTCCAGAGGACAGGAGCAGAATTCAAAACGATCTTGACAGATTAGAGGGATGGGCCAAAACTAACAAAATGAAGTTCAACAGTGACAAATGCAAGATACTCCACTTTGGCAGAAAAAATGAAATGCAAAGATACAGAATGGGGGACGCCTGGCTCGAGAGCAGTACGTGTGAAAAAGATCTTGGAGTCCTCGTGGACAACAAGTTAAACATGAGCCAACAATGTGATGTGGCGGCAAAAAAAGCCAATGGGATTTTGGCCTGCATCAATAGGAGCATAGTGTCTAGATCTAAGGAAGTAATGCTACCCCTCTATTCTGCTTTGGTTAGACCACATCTGGAATATTGTGTCCAATTCTGGGCCCACAATTCAAGAGAGATATTGACAAGCTGGAATGTGTCCAGAGGAGGGCGACTAAAATGATCAAGGGTCTGGAGAACAAGCCCTATGAGGAGCGGCTTAGAACTGGGCATGTTTAGCCTGAAGAAGAGAAGGCTGAGAGGAGATATGATAGCCATGTATAAATATGTGAGAGGAAGTCACAGGAGGAGGGAGCAAGCTTGTTTTCTGCTTCCCTGGAGACTAGGGCACAGAACAGTGGCTTCAAACTACAAGAAAGATTTCATGTGAACATTAGGAAGAACTTCCTGATTGTGAGAGTTGTTCAGTAGTGGAACTCTCTGCCGCAGTGTGGTGGAGGCTCCTTCTTTGGAGGCTTTCAAGCAGAGGCTGGATGGCCATCTGTGGGTGATTTGAATGCAATATTCCTGCTTCTTGGCAGGGGGTTGGACTGGATGGCCCATGAGGTCTCTTCCAACTCTTTGATTCTATGATTCTATGATTCTATGATTCTTGGGATCAAAAACATTTCTCTTTTGCATATAATATTCAGTAAAGTGCTGCTCTGTAACAAAATGATAACTAAAATAAACTTTCCCATTTGATTTTGTAATCCCTCAATTAGAGTTCATTATTATCCCTGTATCTGCTGGAGATGCTTTCCAGGACCCCTCCTGAATACCCTGAAACCATTAATTTCAACTCTATTCGGGCTGGAAATACACCATAGAAACACACTGGAGGAACTAGAGAGACCCAGAAACACTTCTGAAGGGAGCAATTTTTTTGGAGAATGGGTACATTAAACCATGGAATCTCAAATCTGTATTAGATTTTTTTGGATGGCCACAACTATGCAGTCTGCTTTGGGAGGTGAGGCATAAGAATATATAGTTCTACAAAATGTAGCAGAAATATTTACCCCAGAGGACTCATTTTCTACCAATTAATTTGATTCTGAAATGCTTGCACTAAGAATTTGCAGTTAAACTTAGCTCCGCATATCTCCAAATAAATCTGTGATTATTTCCCCATGTTGGCTTCTGTAGATAGATATACATGGAAGTGCATCTGTTGATATGATCTTCTCTCCACATCCAGATATGGAATCGTACATGGAACTGGAGAACAACTGTCAATGAGTGGAGAAAGATACCAGGCAATTTTGAATTGATCAGCCACAACATAAATCCAACTACTTTTTTCTAAGCTTAAAAGTTATACAGCCCACACATGGTATGTTAACATAGTAATTGTAAGCAATTTTTAAAAATTACAGACTGTAAGTTTCCTGATTAGAAAAAGTGGCACTTTTCTGCTTAAAATTGTGATTTTAATATAACAACAACAACAACAACAACAGCAACAGTTTCTCCTTCTATATTCTTTCTTCTTTTTAAATCACAGGCATTTTGTTTGGTGCTGCTCTGAGGTACAGAAAGGTTAACTGTCTGGCAACACCAATTCCAAAATAATCAAGTTTTTCATTTCAACATACCTGAGGCATTAAATTATTAATTAAATTCTGCCTTCTGTTGTGTCTTACTACTTTGTTAATTAACAAATGAAGCAATGAGCAATTATTAGCTGATAGGTGACATCATGTGCAAAGAAATGTTTTTGTACTTTATTTTTAAAATTGTTAATGTTAATTGTATTTTCACACCAAGACAGCCATTGCTAACCTCTCTGTCATTCCAAGCATGAGCAGCATAAATCACTTCTTGAAAATATAAGTGCAGGCAAGAGTGCCTGTATTTTAATTCAGTTAAGGCCATTCCACCTTACTATTTCAGGGAAGGAAAAATGTGTGTCATCACTTTGACTTCACTAAACATCAGCACTCAGTGAATTTGTGTTGTTACAGAAGATTGTAAAAGGTTCCAAGGACTCTGTATTCATATAAGTGATGATGATCTAGGTAGGAAAAGCACAAATATTTTGAACTGAAAAAGAAAAATGTGTAGAAAAGAATGTATGGATAGCCATTTTGATTGCTAGCAGTAGCAACATCATAAGGCAAGCTAGTTTGAAGTTGTGCCAATGTCTAGCTTAAAAGTAGGTTTTTTTTGGAGTTCAAGTTGGTTGCTTATAAAAGTCTGAAAAATCTGCACAATAATACAACTACCGTCAAACTCTGCTGTTATAACATCATCTTGCTCTGTTTTGCCTTAGGAAAACTTTGAACTTTCAGAGGTAAGTTGTAATTAACTCTTCAACTTTACAAAAAGTTAACACTGACTTTGATTTCTCCAGTTTTTGGTGTCTTCTTGGTTACTGCCATGAACTTCAGCTTTGTCTATGAATGAGAGACCTCCAAGTAACCCTATATATTCAGGAGACTTGTCTATCTGTAACTCAAGCTGGATCTACACTGCCATATAATTCAGTTTTAGAATGCAGATTAACTGCATTAAACTGGATTATATGAGTCTAAACTGTCATATAATACAATCTGATGCAATTAATCTGCATTCTGAAATATGTTGAAGGGCCTCACTTTAATCACATTTGCTCCTGGTGAAATTACAGGAAGTGAGAGAAACAAATGAGTCCTGCCACACTGCCTGTAGTGTAAGTTCAAAAGTACAAACATGTTATTATTGTTGCTTTGCCCAACCATAGAGTTAGTTTCACCATACTGGATGAATAAAAGATTGGTTTATTGAAATTTGAACTTGAGTCACTCAATCTAGCGTTTGCCCCTTGAAAAGTATCTTTACTTGGCTGGATAAACACGTTAACCTGTGAACAGTTGCAATATGTTGTTGTTGTTATTGTTGATGTGTTCCTTCAAGTCATTTCTGATTTATCTTGACCCTAAGGCAACTCCATCATTGGGGTTTCTGAGGCTAAGCGTTTGGGATTTCCCCAAGTTCACCCAGTGGATTTTCATAGCTGATCAGGGATTCAAACCCTATTCTCCAAAGTCTTATTACCACATCAGATGGGCAAAGTTGCCTCTTGTATGGCACTCCCTCTTCACTTGCGGCACGGGACCTGCCAGAGCCAGTAAGATATGTAAAGAGACACTGTATGTGTGTGTCTATATCAGGCATGGGCAAACTTGGCCCTCCAGATGTTTTGGACTTCAACTCCCACAATTCCTAACAGCCTCAGGCCCCATCCCCCCCCCCCCAGCCACTATCTACTTCCGGTGGAGTTCCATGGTGCAAGTGAAGAGGGAGTGTCGGCAACACATGCGGCTTCCTGTGCTGCATAGGCAACAATGGGGGGGGGGGGGGAAGCCAACTGGTGGACACTTCCCCCATGGGATGGGGTATGGGGGAAGCTGGGGTTCCCTGGGCCTCCATCCGGGCTGTGCTGAGGAACCCTGGCTTCCCCAAGGGCAAATCCCGGTCTTAATATGATTAAGTCCTTAGTCCAATGCTAAAACATTATACCATGCTGACTTCATCATACCTGTTACACTTTTCAACATCTTTGCCTGCTATTGATGTGACCAAAGTCCTGGTTAAAAGCAAAGCCTCTCTTTCTTTTAAGTTTAATATATTCTACCCACAAATATACACATATATACTTTACACAGGCAGACTTCCATTTCAACAATGTGACTTCCATCTCCCTCAATTCCCAGGAGCCTCATCCCACCATAAAATCTGTCATGGAGGGTCTGGGAAGCTGCAAAGGGAAGGAACATTGCCACTCTCTATGTTCTGTTGACAGAAAGTGCTCCATGAATGGAAAGACTTACTTGGATATTGCCTTATATATGTATTTAGCAACATTTACCAGTACCATTTCTAAAGAACAGCATCTTTTTTCCTTGGCTACAAAGTAGATTGTAAGATAATTTTTAATTAAAGTGGGAGGGAGAGGGAAGAATGAACAGTGCATATGACATTATATATGTGGTCTATTTTTCTCTGTTCTTTATTCACTCAGTGTTTTTGTCTGTTTTCTACAAATATAATTTGTCAGTCACTGGAGGATCTGAAATTTTTAGATTTGAGTTACACAGAGTTACACAAAGCATAGAACAGCACACTCTGTATAGGTATAGTTTAGACCTGAAAAAAATTGTGCTGTCCTGCAGATAGGAGCGCTGCATAGCTAAGCGCCATTGCTGGTCTTTCAGAAGAGCCCTTAACATGTTTACTGTTGCTTCTACTTCTTTTCTCCCTTTGCTTTCAGAGTCCAGGAGCAGTTCGTTCTGGAGTTTCTGACTTCACTCTGGGATGAAATCCAGGCAACCACAAAGTTCCAATAGACTGCGGGTTATCAAACTTTCAGTTCCCACAACTTCTCGAGAGATTTCCTCCTTTGATTTGTATGTAACATATATAAGTATGTGCATAGGGATACTGCATCTTTTACTTAGATATTTCTTGCTTCATAAACAATAGATTGGGGAAATATTTTTACAAAGGAAAAAGATGTTTTTTCCAGATGTCGTTCAATATATTGCTATGACTTATACCATATTGATACTTATATACAAAACTTTAAGTTGTCTCTTAGAGATGCATGGAAGCATTTAATATAACAGTTTGAAAGTATCCCATTTTCCACCAAAATCTTGGCTCATGCCAGTCTCTTGAATAAAATGTGACTGCATGATGAATATAATAGAAATTATTTGGAATGTTGGTTAAGATTTACTAAAACTGGTAATATAGTCCATTTGTGGCTTAACTGGGGAGCACCAGGCCCAGGGACCTGGTGGAGATAGCAGCAGCAAAAGTCTTTAAAACAGTGGTGTTAGGCGGTTAGTGTGCAGTGCTTATGGGTGCTAGTTTCATCTCTTTATCCTGTGTTCTTCTTTTCTTGGGTTGTGTTTTACTTTTGTTTTCCCGTTCTCGGTTTTGTCTCCTTGCTTCCCGGCCTCTGTTTTCCTGACTGGTTTCCTTGCTTTCTCCCCTCTTTGGCTTTTTCCGCCTTTCCTTTCTTCTCCCTGCAATAGATAGTTATAGTACACAATAAGAGGTAATTTTTCTCAGAAAGTATAGTTATTTCCCCCCATAACCCAGAGGTGATAACATTTTGCATTCTTAGTTCAGAAAAAAGGAGGCAAACCAACCATGACATGGATCTAATTTCAAGAGATACCAAATAAATAAAGTGTGATAGCAGAAACTGAAAGAAGATAGCCTTGGCCCTTGACAAACTATCCTTATTTTGTTCTTTAAAATATAATAAAAACAATGTATTTTTCCTCAATATTTCCATTCCTGAAACTTCGCATCTTTTTTAGTCAGCATTCATTAAAAAAAAAGACTGTTATGATTGATCCAACCTTATATTTTATGCTAGAGTCAGTAATGAGTAACACAGATTAACTAACTCACACCTGTTCACACCTGTCCGTACAGACAGGCACACTCTTCGACTAATTACAATTAGCTATTAAAGTTGTGTGTTTATTTGGAGCTTGAGCCACTTACGTGTTCAAACTATGGAAAGAAATGTGCATAGAAAGTTTAGGAGTTAGAAAATTATTTATAGTGTACTGGTTGTGATGAATCTTTACAGATATAGCTTAAAATAATAAAATTCCTACAAGGTAGATTTTTTTTTCCCTTAGTAAATAGAGAACAAATTTTGACAAACAAATAATTGCTCTGATTCAAAACAACCTGAACAGTTTACATTGCTTTACATGAACTAATAATTGAGATCCACTAAGAGGCGCAATTGAGCTACAGTCTCTTGCAATTTGCACAAACTGGAATTCTTTAAGAGAAAGATTAAAGGAAAGTGAAGACCAGAATTACACTTGTTCTGACTGTATACATTCTACATACATATTCCCTCTTTCTCCCATTGTTTATGTTTGCGGGATCAGTCTGGTTTACTACACTGAAAGTTTACAAGGATGGACTTGTGCCAGCGTATGCCTTATGATCAGTGGTGGTATTTAGTTGCAGAAGCGCTGATGCCAGATGACTTACTAGGTCTTATTGCTTAACCCACAGAGAATAAAAAACATGAATCTAAGAATAAACAGATATGATATCAAGATAATATATGGACCAACATGGAAGAGATGTGATGAATAAACTCTTATAGACAGCGAGACACTGATCCAAATTTTTAAATTACAGATTGGAGCGTTTTGCTGTTTGGCTATCTCTCTCAATAATCTAAACCATGTAAAGGGGAAGCATTGTATTGATAAGATCAATACATTTGCTTTCCCAGCTAATTTATCCACAGTGAATTTCTTATTTGTTTACAAAAGAAAAGCAAAATAGTCATTTCATTTTACATCCAATGAGTTTTCTTCCATCCTAGCATGATCAACTGGAAATTTAGTCCATAATGTCTCTAGAGGGAAAGCTTAGCATATAGGACTTGTGCTATCTTATTCTTACCTCTGTAAAATCCATTAGTCAGTGTGGCACAAAAAGGGAGACATATTTGTAACTCTGGTTAAAACAGCCATGCTCAATTTTTAGAAAAAGAGAAGCCATCTGGAAGGGTCAGCTTCTTAAAACATAACCAAAACATACAACCTCTGAAGTGATTCTTGTTTTGCTCCTGGGTCAGCTTTGCACCACCTATAGTCCATTAATGCAATGTTACATAAATCCTGGGCTCCTTTCTCATTTCCAAGAAGCATGACCAATTTTCTGGAGAGAGGCCAGCTTCCAAATACACTCAGACTGAACTCTACAGCTCTCTGCCAAATACATAATTTTAAGGATCCCACTCCCAAGGCTCCTATCAAGAACAAAATAGATTGCATTTTCATTTGCCAGGCTTTATTGTTATCATTGTTCTAATTTAAGAGATAGATTTCTCCTCCAATATTTCAGGTACACAATAGCCTTTTTCTATGACTGAAGGAGGTCAAGCAGACTACTTGTTGCCTTGAAAGAAAATTTCTACAGTCACTTCTAGAACAATTCAAATATGTAATTAGTGCTCTAAACCCAGTCTAGACCTTCATTTCACATACTTGCACCTGACCTGTCCTTGGTTATGTACAGTCAACCCTCCACATTTGCTGTGATTAGGGGCACAGGCCCCCTGTAAAAGTAAAAAACCATAAATAAAGAAATTATTCTACTGTCAACTTCTACTGGAAGGTGACCACAGAATTGCATCGGAGGCCCCAGAGATTGATAGAGGGGTGTTCTCTCTAGAAATCTCTAGGTCCTCCAGGATGACTGAAGGAAAATGACCAAAGAGTCACAGTACAGGACCTAGAGATTCCCAACATTTGTAATCAAACATTTGTAATCAAATGTTTAGGGAACGTTTGTAATCAAATCCTCAAAAGTCAAAACTACAAATGTACATAGCTCTCGAATCTAAAAGATATATTCACCAGCAAAAACAAAGATTATAGATACAGCAACCAGATAGAGCAAATTCAGACGCAAACTATGCACACACATCTTATTTGGCTAATCTATTACTGACCTAATAGTGTCATCTACAACACCAGGAGTCAACTGTTCATCTTCCAATGTGATATATTCCATTATTTCCCTACAATGTCCTACATCCCTCAACAAAGGATGAACCCTCTAGTCTCAATGTCACATCAATAGACATCTGATACCAGAAATGGCAATACAGTTATCAACAGTTTTACAAAGAAGCTCCTTTTTGCAAAGTCCTTTCATGGAAGCCCTATCCAGCTCTCCTTGGTTACAGCAAGCTTATTTTCTTCCACACAGAAACACAGACATATAAATTAACATAAACTATATAATTGTCTGAATAATCAATAATAGTACTAAAGAGAAATTTTGGTTGGAACATGTATTAAACGACCATTCAGTGACTGTTAAGGCTATTAGACATGGGTTAATTAGATTGTTCCTTAAATTTAACTTTTTGTTGTAACTGAAGATGAAACTTATAAAAAGTCAAGACAAGTCCCAATGAGAATCTGTGCTATTAGTAGAAATACCTGTATTGGAAAAGCTTGTTCTTGGCCATTGACAACTTAATCCCCACCGCCCACCCCATTAGATTCCCTTGAGGTCATGCAGAGACATTAGTTCATCTGGTGGAGGCAACAGACTGAACCAGAAATACAACTGTAATGCTGCATTATGTCAGAGCTGCATGTTTAGTCTGCCTTTCAAGAGATAATCAAGAAACGTTTTACACGATAAGACACAGATGCTTCCACCTACAAGATACCTGAACTTTTTCTACATTACAATAGAAAAGCAACCGAAGGAAGTATTGGATTTCATGTTAATCCATTTTTCGATCCAATAACTTTGAAAGGAACAGCATTGGATTAGTCCAGAAACTTCCACTTAAAATAAGCCAACAAGTAACACATAGGTTTGAAGTAGTGTGTAATGTAACATAGATTTTTCTTATCTCAGTGTAATTTATTTCCTTTATTCCATTAATCACAAGGCTACAATCGATCTGAAAGTACAAAGACCAGCACATCTGTCCCAGAAAAAGAATCAATGCATATTCAGCTCCCTCCCTTTCTTTCTCTCCCCCCACCTCGCCCTTCCTCTCTCTCCCTGCCCCCTTCCTCTGCAAATTAACACACAATGTGGACTACAGTAAAAAAGAGAAAAGAAACAGTGAAGTTCTAATATATATCAAGGGATTTGTAAAGCAGATGGTTCCCATCTGACTTAGAAAAGTAAGCCAAGCCCAGTGTTAACTGGGGCGGAGAAGTAGAAAGCTATTCTTTCCTCATCAATGTGGCAGTGCTTCCTGAAATCCAATAGAGAAAGAAAAGCACAGTAAAAAAGCAAAATGCCTCCTATTAGGAAAGAGGCATAGGGCCATGTCCTACTACCAGAGGATAGCCCTGCATTTGAAGAGATGCCTGAGAACAGACCTCTAAATGAAAATGTTCTCTATCTGAAGGACTTTCAAGAGTTTGAAAATGAAGAACTGTAAAGAGAGAAAGGAGCCTTGAACAATTTGTTCCAAGCCAGCAAACTGAGCAGGTACTGAGATCACTCTGTTACTACCTTTTCTTCTATGGTGAGTTAATATTGTACACTCCTGCCTTCATTGTTATGGTTGGGCTTTTGAGGATTTGATGATTCCCAGATTTGATTAAAATGTTCTTTCTAGGAATCTCTAGGTCCTACAGTGTGCCTCTATCATTAACTTCCTCCAGACATGCTGAAGGACCCAGAGATTTGCAGAGAGAATACCTATCTAGGAATCTCTAAATCCTCCTATGCCAGTAGTTCTCGACCTGTGGGTTCCTAGATGTTTTAGCCTTCAACTCCCAGAAATCCTAACAGCTGGTAAACTGGCTGGAATTTCTGGGAGTTATAGGCCAAAACACCTGGGGACCTACAGGTTGAGAACGACTGTCCTATGCAATTATGTAGTCAGCTTCCAGTAGAGGATGACCATATAGAGTAATGCTGGAAGACCTAGAAATCTTTGAGATGTGTTCTCTCAGGTTAAAATAATAGCAATGTCTTTATTTGTGGTTTTCATTTGACAGGGGACTTGTTCCTCTACTCCCACCGCCCATAAATGTAGAGGACTCATTGTACTTCTCTTTGACTTACTATAGTAGTCACTTAGATATTGGCAACCATGCATGTAAATAAACATATGCAAATTTTAGAATAAAGGAAAACTGCCTTATGCTGAACTGATGTTTGGTTCATCAAGCACAGTATTGTCAAGTAGTTGGATTCTAGTTCTACTTAGAGATTCCTGATAATCCCTGGTGGTCCCCTATCCACATACTAACCCTGGTGGTCCCCTATCCACATACTAATCTTCTTTATAATCAAATTATAATTTGATTAAAATTATATTGCAATGTGAATTCAAGATGGTTTGCATATTTGGATCTCTTCCTTCTCTCTCTTTTAAAAAAATAATGCACAAGTAATTAGCTTAAGTCAAGATCAATTGTTACTGGTTCATATGAGAACCAGTGAAAGGAGAAAAACTCATTGTCTTGAAAGACATTACATTACAATCACCCTG